TTCGGTCGAGAGGGGCTCGCCCCGGGGGTATGGTGCCCGGGCTCTCCAGCGGCCGGGCAGCCGGAACTGCCGTCCAGCCTGTGCGACTCCGGCTGCCATGAGCGCCATCTAGCGACTGCAGCCAGAACTGCAGCGTCAGTTCCAGCGCAGCCTGAAAGCCGCAGCTGACAGGCAACAGATTGGTTCAGGGCCGGCTCCGGCTTTTTGCGCCCCAAGCAACAACAACAAAAAAAAGGGGGGGGGCTGGAGTGTCGCCCCTTGGAAAGTGCCGCCCCAAGCACATGCTTGTAGTGCTGGTGCCTAGAGACGGCCCTGGTGAAAATACATTGCTTTTCTCATGTTAAAAAATTCTGGAGATTTTCTTTCAGAAGTTTTAGTGCTGTCCCCATGCTGTGAAATAGGGACTTGAAATTTGGCAAGGGGGTGGCTTATGAATCAGGGATCTGTCTGCCTTTTGCTGCGCCTGTGAATATCCGCTCAAATTTGGCCAAGTTATAAGCCTTTGAAAATTAATGATTCTACCAACAATGAGCATGCTCCAGCCCAGAGCTACAGGGGGCTGAGTAGGACGTTCCATGCAGGTTTGGGTCCTGACAGTGGAACTGAGAGCGGGGAGCCTGTCTCGCACATGCTTGCTGTGTCCTCCTGAGCCCTGGCAGCATGGAGGAGGAAGTTGCCTGAGTTGAATGCAGAAGGGACAAGAGCCACAAGGTGGGGGAAAGAGTCCATTGGTGCTGGGGGAGAGTTATTTAAACCAGGGGTAGGCAACCTATGGCACGCATGCCGAAGGCGGCACGCGAGCTGATTTTCAATGGCACTCACACTGCCCGGGTCCTGGCCACTGGTCCGGGGGGCTCTGCATTTTAATTTAATTTTAAATGAAGCTTTTTAAACATTTTAAAAACCTTATTTACTTTACATACAACAATAGTATAATTATTTATTAAAGACTTATAGAAAGAGACTGTCTAAAACTGTTAAAATGTATTACTGGCGCGCCAAACCTTAAATCAGAGTGAATAAATGAAGACTTGGCACACCACTTCTGAAAGGTTGCCGACCCCTGACTTAAACCAATCCTTTCACAGGTGGTCACTCATTGTGTTCTTCATTCATTGGGTGTCTCAATTGAGAGCCTGGGGTATGATTTGTAGAAGTGCTGAGCGGGTCACAGCTGTCACTGAAATGGATGGGAGCTGTGCCCTGAACATATGAAGTTCTATAGAATGCTAAGTACTTTAAATGCCCTGCTTTTTCAGGTACCTTATTCCTGCCTAAGTACCTTTTGAGAGTCTGAGTCTCAGGTTGGGCACCCAGTATTAGTGGATACTTTTGACCTCAAACTCTCCATGCCTAAGTTCCTCATCTGTAAATGGAACTATTGCAATCCTCTGATCTCACAGGGGTGCTGTGAAAATTCATTACTGTTTTCTGAAGCACTCAGATACTATAGAGCTGGGTGCCAGAGGAAAGCCCAGGATGAAATTAATAGTTCTGTCTTCAGACCGGCTTTGAATAGTGCTACTGGGGCTACACACTGAATGAGAAGAAAACAAAATATTGAATAGCTGCTCAGTAAGTCAGCAGCACCGTCTGTCATGTGTCTTGAATGAAGGAGGGGTCCGGTGGAGAAAACTGGTATGTGACTATGTAATTACGGACTGGATCATAATGCATATGCACAAGGGGGCCCAATAAAGATTGCACAGGTAACCTTAATTCTGACACTGCCTAACTTTTGAGTGCTTGACTTTGCAACCACAATACTGTTCTTGTAAGGTGGTTTTGTGTGTGTGTGTGAGAGAGAGAGAGAGAGATGCACAGAGCCCTCAGTTTGTCTGGGAACACTCTGGGAAGCCAGAACTTCCTCCAAGAATCCCTTGCCTCCCTCCTACTACTTTTAAAGTGCTTCAGAAGTGGTTCAGCAGAGAAGGCGACAGTTTTGTTGTGACTTTCATTTCAGAGGTTCGGTGCTCCTTGGGGGGAAATGCATTGTGTGATACTGAGCCTGTAAAGTATCAGAGGGGTAGCCGTGTTAGTCTGAATCTGTAAAAAGCAACAGAGGGTCCTGTGGCACCTTTGAGACTAACAGAAGTATTGGGAGCATAAGCTTTCATGGGTAAGAACCTCACTTCTTCAGATGCAAGTCAAGATGAGCCTGTAAAATGTGAATTGTGTGCCCGATCTTATGAATTCCTATTCACATCACAGCTCTGCCAGAGCACCTCCCTCCTGCCCTGCACCTCCAATGGGCCTTTCCTCGAACAAAACATGAATAAAGAGAAATGTCTTGGCTGAGAATGTTTGTCGTTTGAAAGCCCCTCGTGAACATAGGGAAGCTCAGCACAGTTCAGAAGCTTCCGGCCTATTTAATGCTGCCTTTTCCATGTCTATTTCTAGAGGGCTGTGGGTGCAAACTGTGCCCCGCTGACTGGCTGCCGCACAGGAACAAGTGCTACTGGGTCTCTAAAGAAAGTAAAACGTGGAGTGAGAGTCGTGAGGACTGCTCAGCGAAGAGCTCTCAAATGCTCGTGATCCAAGACAAGGAGGAGATGGTACAGTAAATAAAAATGGCTTAACCTCCCCCTTAAGAGATGAGTGTCACTAGTTATAATGCAATACAATGGACTTGCAGCAAAACAACACAACGCCCCAGCTGTATGACATTTGGCTTAAGAAAAATCTATTACAGAGCACGTTAAAATATCATTGATACGTGGAAGGGAAGGAGGGGGTGAGACTGGGAAAGGGAAACATCAGAAATTGAGTATAAATTGCAGAGTCGTGTAGCAGATTCTCTTCCTTCATTTGCTGAGAGAGCAAAGAAGCCAGAGAATTCTAGCAGGTTATATTCACCTAGACTCCTCCATCCTGTCACTTACAGGCATATATTCTGAGAATTTCACAACTGAACCTGGTCTGGCTTGGACTCAGTGTTACATCCCCAGAGAGGAAATGGACCTGGGTGGACGGCTCCACGTTCAATGAAACACTGTGAGTGTTCATGGTTCCTACTTTGGCTTTGAAACTGAGTGTGTCTTGCACGGTGCACAAGTGGGAACATGAGGTTAGTGCTCTCTAGTGCTAGCGAGAGCAGAGGCTGTCTGTGAGCACAAGTAAAGTTAAGCACCAGGCAGAGTCCTCCCCATGGAGAGCTGGTCAGTCTCAAGCCCCCGTGTGCTTGCAAGACCACAGGATAGAGGGGGGTCAGGGTCTGTTTGGAGAATGGGAACTGGGAAGACACTAGTTTAAGCATAATCCTTGTCTTGCTGAAGAGGCACTTAGCTGTTCACACCTATGTTAGCTCTCAGCTGTGCTGCTCTGCCTGAGTGAGGTGGCCCTTGTCCTGCAATGGGCTCGTTAATGCAGGGTCAGGGTCCCCTCTCCTGCCGAGCAGCACATTTTACCTTCACCAGGGCTGCAGTGGGGGTGGGGAAAGTGGTGGTATTTTCCCAGCCCCACCCACCAACTAAGCTCCACCCACTTCAGATACCACTCAGTGCACATGGCACCGTTGTACAAAGTAGGACCACACAGGTGCTGCTGGGCTCCTCGGCTTGGCTCCCCAGCAGTGGGGTTTGAACACACCCATGGGCAGTGTGGTCAGTCATCGCGGTGGATTTTGCGATGTTTTCCAGCACTGAACTGAGCCTGCCCAGCTCCTTTCCCACTCTGGGAGGCATGTTACTAACTAGGGCTCTGTGGAAAAGTACGGCTGAAGGAAGCTAGTATGGAGACAGGCCACCCCTCCGAACGAGGGATGGCTGCTAAAGATCTTGCTCAGTAAAGCTAAACACCCAGTGATTCCTGCTCTTTGTTCCCCAGGTTCCCGCTACCAGGAACTGCTGACAGGGAGAGCTGTGGGATGATCAAAGGGAACTGCACTATTTCGGAAACCTGCACGGCTGTAGCTAAATGGATTTGTGAGAAAGTTGCCCTGAAATAAGCAGTCACACCAATGAGCTGCACTTGTGTAACTGAAATAGCAAGTGTCCTTGTTTAGTTTCTAAAAGAAAAACACATTTGCTAATTAACGAATTCTAAAGCCTCCGACAAACTCATTTTCCAAGGAAGATCCATTCACTTGTTCCTCAGGAGCTGGGTGTGATTTCATGAGGAGCTGGCTGCCCCCTGGGCATCGCGTGTGAACAGACACTCTTGGCTCTCAGGAACAGTTTGAAAATTAAGTTGTAAAGCACCAATGTCACCGCTGGAGACCTACGTGCCATTTGGCCACATCTCAGAAAAGCGCCGTTTGGAACATTCTTTCACCCGGCCCCACTTTCAGTCATAGCCTCTAATTCTGTGGGAGATTTAGATGAAGAAGCACCAGTTTGTATTCCCACGTCTGGTAGTTGTTTACCATTTATGCACCCAAATCTGAGCACACAATAGTTCTTGTCACAGATCCACAGGGTCTGGTCTATGCCCAGCCTGTAACTAGTACCCTTACTGGGCTGGGCCTGGCCCGTGGCCTCCAAGACTCTGAAACTGGGCCCTCAGCAACTAGCTATCCTTCCCTCTCTCTCTCTCTGTGGCTCCCTGTAGCGATTCCAGACTCCTACACTGTGGCGGATTTAGAGTTAGTGGGGCCCTGTGTTCACCTTCATTTTTGGGGCCCCTCCTTGGCACCCAGCCAAGAAAAAGAACAGTCTCTCGTATCTCCCCCCAACCCCTGTTTTTCATTCTTTTTTCTTCATCCTCCTCCTATAAGTAATAGGAAGTAAATGAAAACAAAGTGAGGTACCTTGATTGTTTTTGTAGTCTAACTTATTTTTACCGACCACTGGAAAATCGCTGCGGGTCTCGGCAGACCAATTAATGATCTTTCCAAATATTGTTTGTACCGTTAGCTAACTATTGTAAAGCGCTTTGGATAAAAGCACTTTATAAAAAAAAATTGTAAAAAAGCATTGGGGTGCAGGGTCTGACCTGGACTTAGGGTGCAGGAGGAGGCTTAGGGCTGGGGGTGTAGGGTCTGGGAGGAAGTTAGGGTGCAGGAGCAGACTGGGGGTTGGGGTGCAAGGTCTGGACAGGAGTTAGGGTGTGGGAGAGGGGCTCAGGGCTGGGGCAGGGGTTGGGGTGTGGAGCGCTTACCTGGGGCAGCTCCTGTTTGGTGCGAGGGGTACAGGTGGGAATTGGGGGTGGGGGTGGTGCAGGAGTCAGGGTGGGCTGTGGGTGTGGGGCGGACCCCTGACACAGGGGCAGGGTGTGTGGGGGGTTGCAGGAGTCAGGGAGAGCAGGGGGCTGGGAGGGAGATAGGGTGTAGGAGCAGGCTGGGGTTGGGGTGCAGGGTCTGGCTAGGAGTTAGGATGCAGGAGGGGACTCAGGGTTGGGGCAGGAGGTTGGGGTGTGGAGCGCTTACCTGGGGCAGCTCCCGTTTGGTGCGAGGGGTGCAGGTGGGAATGTGGGGGGTGGTTCAGGAGTCAGGGCATGGGGTGGGGGGCTGGGTATGTGGGGGGCAGGGGCAGAAGGTATGTGAGAGGGTGCAAAAGTCAGGGCAGGGAGCTCGGGGTGTGGGCTGGGGTCATGGGGTGCTCCCAGCCCCCTGCACCACCCCAGTCCCCTGCCCCGAGTGGCTCACAGCAGGGGGCTGGGGGGATGTGTAGGGGGAGTCCGGGGGCCCCACCTTTGCTCTACTCTGCCCGATTCCACCCCCTTCCCCCAGGCCCTGCCCCCGCCTCTTCTCCGCCTCCTCCCCTGAGCGTGCTGCAGCCCCACTCCTCCCTCTTCCTCCTGGAGCGACTTGAGCACCAGCAATTTGGCAAACAGCTGTTTGGCGGCGGGGGAGGGGCAGGAACATGGCACACGGGGGGAGGGAGGAGCTTGGCTGCCGGTGGGGGAGGAGCCTGCAGCAGGAGCCCCAGGAGCCGGCAGGACCAAGCTTCTGCTCCCGCAGCTGCCTGGCTCTGGCGTTGGGGGGCCCCGTGCCTGGGCACCCTGTGTTTTACTGTAAATCTGTCTCTGCTCCTACAGGAGGCTTGTGTACACTGGACCCGTGCAGCACACACGGATCCCAGTGAGTATTTTCACTCTTGTGCCAAGGCTTTAGATTCCTGTCCCCCCCCTGAGAGCTCGGCCAGTCCCACTGCAGTCCCTAGCCTCGCCCGCGAGTCTTTCCCACTGGTCTCCTCCTGCCCTGATGCCTGACTCAACTCCCTCCCCGTGGTTAAGGGACCCCACAGCCCTCTTCAGGGCTGTGCTGCAATTCAAGCCGGCTTCCCCAGTCTCAATGCTGGTTCCTATTCCAGAGAGACTCAAGGTTCCCCTGCAAGTCTCCCCAGGCTCTCTGCCCTCACCCTCTTCCTGGCAGTTACCCTAACAGCTGGGTGTTATCACGTTAAGGAGGCAGCCACCTTCTTCAGCTGGCCTGCTGCTTCTTTGGGTACCTCTGTCCTTAACGGAGCCATGTCATGGAGCAGGGTTTGCTGGCCCCAGGCTCCACCAGTCCTTCCAGGGAACTGTACATGATTCCACCTCAGCCCCAAGTGCCCCTTGTGGCTCAGCCCCCCAGCACTGGGGTTGCCATCCCCACTTCCCCTCTTCCTTAAGAACTGTGTGACAGGCTGTTGTTTCTTATCATACCCACCGTGGATTAATTTAAATCACTTTTGATTTTAAATTAACAATTTTAATCATGATTCAAATCAGCAAACAGGAACCCTTGATTTAAATCATCAATTTAAATTGTTTTGCATTTGTACTTTTTATTTTTCTAAATTCTTCTTGGTTGATAACCATTAGTTCAGATGAGCATGTCTTTAAACACAGCCTTTACACTCAATTTGGTGCTTCTTTGTGCTAACCAGGAGGATACACCATACCTAGACACATTTATTTGAGCAATTAGAGAGTTTACTGTACATTTATTCAGATTAATTTGTACATGTTTTATTACTAGATGAATCTTTTACTTGTGATTTATGTCAAGCTCTCTTTGGATATGAATTCAATCACAAAACTCAGCATTTTAATATTTTATTTAAAAAAAACAACCATAACTGTGTTGGATACATAAACTTTTTTTCTGATCAAACCATAGTTTGCATTTAAAGCCGCTGTATTAAACAAAGGCAGTAGTAGCTGCAGTTAGTGAATTGAACTGATTATTTCTGGTCACCATGTCCCTCAGGATTTAGAACTAGTAGATCTTGTCTTCTCACACCTAGCTTTTATTCACACATTGGAAGAAAAAAAAACCCCAGAAAAATTAGTTTGCCAACTCCCCAGGTGGTTCCTTAACTTTAAATGAACTAGTTGAATAAACTGAAAAGAAGAAAATATTCTCTCTACACCTGCAGAAGAGGCGACTACTGTCAAAAGCTGGTTTAGACCTTCAGCAAACTCTGGTTCTTGGTGCTTAGCCCAGGTTTTCCAGCAGTTCAGCGGTCTGACCGTCATTAAAACTTGGCAGCAAATATGTCCTGCTTAGTATTAAGTTTTATATGTAACATGTCATTGAAAGAGACATGTTTAGGCTTCAACACAGGTTTATTTGTAAAAATACATAAATAAATAAGCCTGTTTTTATTTAAATAATCAAAATTTGATCTTTTCAGATTTTTTTTTTTAAAGTCACAGCATATCCCCCCAGCTGGGACCCATCCCTAGGCTCAGTTTATTACTAAAACCTGGCGCAAATAGTCCACGGCAAGGTTCCAAAACATAGTCCATTTATCACCCCCAGCGCATATAGTCCTTAAAATCCCTTGACATCTGGTCCATCAATGGAGCACACACCAGTGTCTTCCACCACATCTGGACTCTTCTTTGGTCCTCTCCTGTCCTTCTGCCATGTCACCCAGCCAAGGTGTTCCAGCTGGAGCGCAAACCCACTCTTCCTAGCAGCAGCCCCCACAGCCTCTCCCCTGGGAGTTCATCGTCACCAGGGAAATATCCAGCACTCGCCCTGTTCTGTTACCTTTCATCTCTAGCAGATCTACCCTACCATTGTTCCCCTGGCCCTCAGCTCTCTCTGGCTCCAGCATGGGGACAGCAGTGGGTAAATCCATCTGCCACTTCCCTGTCTTCAGCCTTCCCCTAGCAACATCCTGTAACTTCCTTCAAGGACTTCCTCCTCCCTGACCAGTCTATAGCTCCAAGCGCTGCCCTGACCCCTTAACCGGCCAAACGTGGATCACCTGTTCTAGCACAAGGGCACTGGACCAGCTTCATTTAAAGGGGTCAGCTTGTTACTGTGTGTCCCTTCCAATGAGCTCCTGTACCCGTTTGGGAACCTCTGTGCTGGGCCACGATCTGAGAGGGGAGAACCCCAAGGAGGGAAGAGGCTGGTTAAGCAGAACCCAGGTGGGAGCAGAGAACTCAAACTAATGGCATTAAACTGAGCAAAGGGAAAATATCATCTAGCCCCCAGGAATCTAACTCTGGAGATCTGTTTCCCCAAGGGAAGCCCTGGGGAGAGTCTGTAAAGAATACAGACCCGACCTCCTTCATCTACAGGTAGTGGAAGGTGTGTCCCCAATAAAGCTTTTCCAGGCCTCGTTCCTAAGAGTCTCCAAGTTTTGACTCCACAGCACGTCCCGTCCCCATCGTACAGGTGTCGGGTTTGCTGCAGATCCAGTGTCTCCCTGTGCTGCACCGCGAGCTGCCGAACCAGCCGTCATCCATCAGAAAAGCACAGTCACCGCCTCCTCTTATCGGAAACCTGCAACACAGACCCCAGGGGTGGGAGTCAGGGCAGGGCTGGGCATTGCCCATCAGTCACAGACAGGGGGAGACGCCGCCACAGGGCGGGGCAGCCAGAGGAGCAGCTGCACCCAGAGGCATCGGCCGGACTTTAGACTCCTCCCTGGCACAAGGGGAAAAATAAAGGTGTAGGAAAGACAGGTAGTGGCTATTGCAGGGCAGGGAGAGGAGAAAGGGGGTGGGGCTGAAAGACGACAGCTGGGGCTTCCAGTGATGTCTTTGTGCTGGTAGATATTAGGCACGACTTGCGCATGGCTCAGCTTTGCCTGACGCTCTCCCCTCGCCCCAACTTTCTCTCCAGGCCCATTCGGCCCAGAGGGGAGAGAATCCACAGGCCTCTCCCACGGCAGCGAGCAGCAGCAGCTCTCTGCGGAGAAGAGTTTGAGCCGATCCTCCCCAGGCCACTGGGGGACTGTCAGAGAGGCCGGGGGCCTGTTTCAAACCCCACGGGCTGTCAGGACAGACTGTTAGTAATGAAATGAGATTTCTCCCTACAGCCTTCCCACGGAGAGAAGCTCAAATTACCCCAACAGTGAAGGAACCTGTTCATCTCCAAACACCACTCCTCAGAGCGAGCTTAGGGAGTCTAACTTCCACCCGGACAGCCCAATGGGGACGGGGGAGCTCCGGTTAGTGTCTCCTCCGGCAGCCTCCCTTGTGCCCAGAACTGTGGTGCATTGTAAACCCCGTGGGGCAGGGACCATCTTTCTGTTCTGTGATCGTACAGCGCCTGGCACTATGGGGCCCTGGTCTACGGGCGCTACGTTACTACAAATTACAAACAATGATAACACTGTGTGGGGGACTCAAACGCTGCTGGAATATTGGTTTTAGTCCATGAAAACCAAATACCAAGAAGAGCCCAGACACATTCCCACACCCCAAACAACCTTGGTTAAATATAGTCTTCGTCTTTTGGCAGCATGGCAGGCACCTGTGATCTAACCCAGAAAATGTTACTGGAGGGACACTGTAGCGAGGGGGTGATGGGCGGAGAGAGAGCCACGACCGCCCCCCTGGTGGGCAGAACCGGGATACCTGCGGCCACCCCGCCGGAAGCAGAGGGGCGGGGCAGGAACAGGAACTATAAAAGGCCGGCCCACTAGCTCAGTTGGGGCAGAGTTGCTGGAGGAGCAGGATATCTCTCCCCTGCTCCTGGAGCCTGGACCTGATGGAGGCTGTTCCTGTGCCAGAGACCCGGAAGGGCTGTCAGAGCTGCCAGACACCGGGGACACCGAGGAGCTGTTGGGGCTACCGCCTGCCCTTTACCTGAGCAAGACTGACGACAGCCCCCGAATGCAGGTACCCGGACTGGGAGTGGAGGAAAGGGCCCAGGGAAGCTGAATAGGGTTGGGCTCTGTGACTGATTGCAAGCCGGCCAGCTTGTGGTCAGATTTCCTCGCTGACTCAGTGGCAGAGCACTCTGCCACTGTTTGGGCCCTGGGCTGGGATGCTGTGGAGCGGGAGGGCCTGCGTCCCCCTACCCCCCCACTGTCAGGGGTGGCAGCCTCCCCACTTTGTGGTCAGGAGACCTGCACTGGTCTGGCACCTGCCTGAACTAGGACGCCAGATGGTTTGCTGACTCCCACCAGAGAGATCATCTCCCCTAAACTGCTGTGTGGCTCTGCATGACAGCCGGCCAGAGCCCCTTACCTGAGCTGATCACTGCCCTGCCCTGACTGAGGGCCCCGGGCGAATACGCTCTCTGTGACTGCCTGAGTGACAGCCGGCCAGAGCCCCTTACCTGAACTGATCACTGCCCCGCCCTGACTGGGGG